ACATTTCAAGTATCTAAATATTCTTTCCATTTCTAACATTACAACCAGTAAATACCCGAAAACAAGTGCGCAGCTTACTAATCTAAACTCTAGAAGATCCAAGCTTGCGTTCAAACAAACGTTTCAGAAGAAAAACTTGGAGGCAGCTAGCTCCGATAAGCGCTGCCGATTCTATCAATGCCTTGTGTGTTGCTCTGCGGCTCATTCCTTCATTCACTGCACGAAAATCAAAGATTCGGGGACCTTAGCTTCTTGTGCCCGTATGTGACATGCAGATGCAAGTGCAAAATCATGTACTTCTTGAAGTACTATAGTTTATGCATAAGAGATTAAAACTTGACAGAATAATAAATACCTATTGCTTGGCGGTCAGTCTCAGCTTCTAACCAATGTTGTTCGAATTGGATGTTATAGAGGGCTTCCTCCAACTTTTGAATCTGCTCCAGCAAGGGTGTGAAATGCTCTGCATACATTCAAATAACATTCCGTGACCATTATTCCAATATAAAGAAGACTCACCTAGAAGAAAAAAAAGGTGGCGGAACTTGAATAACAGGTAAAGTGGCCTCTCACCGTCTTTAGCATGCTGGTCATGGTATGTGAAGTGAGCAGCATGTACGTCGAAGTCAATGGTTTCGTGGTAAGGAGACTTGTTCGTGAAGCAGAACTGGTGAACACCTTGCTTCTGAACCACTAGCTCATACTTCTCGCTCGTCTTGCCGCGTATGTCATGAATTTGTTCACCACCAGGTCCCTTTATCTGAGATCGGCAACATAGTTCAAAAGTATAAGAAAGATTTTAGAAACAGGAACCACTATCATCATTATCGAACAAAAAGCAGCGTCCTAATCGAAAAACCAATTGGGGGATGATCTTAAATTCCTAAACTAGCAATTGGGACTCAAAGTACCAAGTTACCAACAATAACAACATTATATTCCCTCTCCCGCTCTATTCATCTCTTCTTTTCTGATACAATCGATATCGGGGGAGTAGAACCGAACGCAGGACATCAATGCAGGCTAAACCATAAACGATCTCAACCGATTGAGCCACAAGTCCCGCTCTATCTCCCGGCTTACGAAGGCAACAGATAATTCTACCCTCTTAACGAATGCAATCATAAACAAAAATCCACAATCTTTATCTTCTATCAAAATTCAACTTGCCAAGGCAGAAGAAGTAACACAAATCAGCAGAAACCATCGAACTTTCTCCACAACAAGATCAAACAGACGAAATTATGACAAAATCACACAATTGGGAAAAACAAACAAATATGAAACATCATAGTATCATTCATTCATACCACGAGATCAACGCCGTCTTCGGTGTAATGCCAAGTCGAATCTACCTTGATTACCACAAAAGAGACATGGATGGTGTCTCCCATGTACTTTGCATCATGGGAGAAGCACTCTTCCCTGTCAATCACGAACCTTAACCCTAACGACCCTTCCAACTGGCACAAAACCAGAAAACCCACCAGCACCAAACTCAGCGCTACGTGTCCCCCGCACCAGAACTCCATCTTCTTCCCTGCAAATCCATCAATTTTTCAGCACACAAAGTCAAACAATCACCTAGTTTTTTTTAGCCACAAATAATCGTATTCGTTACCCAGATAGATATTTAGAGATGTAAACACACAGATCGAGAATAACACGAAAAATTACCTCGGAAACTGCTTCTGGTTTTCGTATTTGGAAGAGGTTTCAAGTTTGGGATTTTCGGATGAACTGGGATTTGAAAAGTGCCCAACTCGAACTTGGGCTGTCTGACAACGGCAGTTCTGGTTGGACAAGCATAAAAGGACAATCAACGATGTCGTTTTGTTTTTTGTTTTTTGTTTCTCGGCTTAAGCCACGTGGCCGGGGTGTGATTCAATAGCTTTACCAGTGGCCAATGGGAACGCTCCACGTTGGATGATGCTTTCCAGGTGGAAAAAAGCGAATTTCGCTTGCGTGGTCCGTGATGTCAAAAACCCCCAAAAATCTTTTTTTATTTTTTTATTTTCGTAGTATGAATTTAGTGATAGGAGAAAGAGAGAGACCAGTCAAAGAGAAGCGAAGGGCTTGAGGAAGTCGTTTGTGAATTTCTATTTTTATTTATAGTAATACGAAGAAAGAAACTTGCTCTTTAAGTAATACAAATTGTATATGAAAAGATCTAAATCTCATACGATTCCTATATATAATCTATTTAGATTTAAACAATCATATTTCTAATTAAATTAGAATTGCAACATTTATTTATTTCTTTTTATTATAAATTTTATTTATTTGTCGGTAAGTTAGTGTTACGATCGTCACCCTTTTTTCCTTTTACTTCACATTTTCCTTTTTAAATAATTAAAACATAAAAATTGTAGGTTAGAACTATCGTAACTTTTTATCACTGCATTACACTTTTGGTATGATGTACTAACCCGTGTTTTAAGTACATTAAAAAATATCTCCTGATCCTCGAAGCATATGCACCAACACCAACTAATACAACATATTTGTGCATGAGTGTGTGTACACTTCGTGCTCGGGACGTCGTTTTGATCTTACAATCACAGCAAAAGCATCACATTGAAAACTGAATTCAGTTTCTCTAATCAGATTCAAATGTTAAGTACATCCATGTACCTTCGATGATTCAGCCCAGATATCTAAACGGGAGTTCAGAGATGCCTCATTTGTTTCCCACATTTACATTTGCGTGCGGTCAGAGTGCATATCCTTTGTTAGCACCTACGTGCAACGTAACCAAAAGCATTCACACAGAACTAAGGCCTGGTTTGGTACTAAGATAATTCTGAAAAAAGCTGGGAGCTGTTTTTGTGTTTGGTAAACATTCAGCTTCAGTTTGTTTTCATAGTTTTGGATGAAAAAAACCAAAAACAAGAAGCTGCAAAACCCAGCTTTGAAAAACCGGCTTTTTTTCACATTTGTTTTACACAAAAGTTTACCAAACACTATAATACTGTTTTTTTTTTTTTCAAAAGCACTTTTACAAAAAAGTTTACCAAACACTCTGCTGCTTTATTTCATTCTCACAGCATAGCAGAAACAGTTTTTTTTTCAAAGCACAACAATACCAAATCAGACCTAAGCTTTAAAGTTCGTCATCCCTACAACGGAGATGGCTGCAAAATCCTTCCCTCTTCAATAACTAACCTCTGGTGAAGCATACATTGATGCTCGGCAAATTGCTTAAACAAATCATGTAGCTGCTTGGCTTGCTCGTACTCTTTCGTCCCAGAAACGACAGCCTTCAATTCGTTGCAAGTTCCGGCTTTGCTCTGTGATACTCTCTCTGCAGAGTCAATAAGAACGGTGCTTTTAGAGGAAACTCGGTGCTTTTATACTAGTTGTTTTGTATTCTATCGGGTTTTGGCATGCTTCTCCCACTTTCTCCGAATGGTGTGTAACATGAGGTTCCGTTATGAAACGATTTAACCGTCATGATACACGGAATTATGTGTTTTGGTGCAGATACAGTTGATGATTCCAATCAATGGTTAGTCAATAAAACAGTCTAGCCATTGAGGGCGCGTCATTCTATGGAACAAATCACGGGATATACTCTTAACACAGAGAATGACATTTCACCGTTATAATCGTTACTTACAAACACAAGAAGAATTATAGGAAACTGACCTGAGATGTAAACGCGAAAGTTTCAGTCAATGCTTTCAGCGAGTCGTGTAGCGGTAATTTTTCAGTCACGAACCAAGGCCTGCGGAGAAATACTAAATGATTAAAATTTTAGCTTGGATATCTAATTACTAAATTTGAACGAACACCATTTTAAGACAGGTTTGCGTGATTTATAATTATTGGAAAGAGACACTTACACTATTGGCGTGTTTACGTAACGGTAATGAAAATAGGAGGAATTGAATTGAGGAGGAGTTGGAATGAGGAGAAGTCAGAATCGGATTTCTGTTGAAACTGTTTACTTAAATGTTCTGGAATCGGAATAGAATTTCATAAAGCTGTTTACTAATTTAGCAGAATCGGAATACAAACCTGTATGATTACTAAAATGTCCTTGTCCCAAATCAAATATTTTATATACTTTAATGGGTTTATAAAGGATAGTCTTGGAAAGAGGAAAAGTAAGTGAGGGTATAAAGAGAACAAAAATATCATTCCGATTACCCAAACAATCAGGAATTGGATTACTACCTATAACTAGGGAATCCAATTCCACCAACACAAGGAATTGAATTCCAAAATTTGTGTGGGCCCCACTGCTTTTTTGATTCCTCTATGTTTAGTAAACACCGGAATACTCCGTAATCGGAATTCAATTCCACATTCTCATTCCGATTACGGATACGTAAACACGCCAGTACCTTCCTCCCGAGGAAACGATGATGTGATCTGGATTCTCCAAAAACGCCAATAACTTGTCAAAGTTCCGTTTGCTGTGCAACAGAATAGCTCCTCGTGCATACATCTCTAACAACTTACTTGGCGAAACAAATGCTTGACATGAGATTGAAAGTGGTTGATGGATAAACTCCATAATTGTTGATGGCTATAACTCCTCAAGATTGTCCATGACGATCATATGGGGCGCCCCTCCGACATCTACGTCATGTTCTCTTCGTTCAGATTCTATATACAAGATAAAGTAGCCAACAGGTTTGAATAGTTTAAACATGGTCCACCAATATATCATATATGGAGAATATCCACAGTGATCAACTACTTCGACGTCAAATTTCAATCTCTCAACCTCCCAAATCAACTCTCTTTCAATTCACTCTTGTTCAACTTACAATCTTACAATTATTGGAAACTCTCCCGCGCAAATTCTCGTTTCCTCGTACATTAATCTTGCACATTATTAAATACAACCTCTCAGTCTTCATATAGAATTATGGAAAAATTGCAGATAGAGTATACTTTTAATACTTGATTATGTATTAAGAGTCTAAGACAACACTTTTTAAACATTTAGGAGATACGTTTTTTTAAACAAGTATAGGATGACATCATGGACGTTTTTTCCGGTTTTAGAAGTTAAAGTTACGAAATTAACCTTCCATCTGTTTGAAAGTGTGACTGACGGGGAATCTTAGCTTCAGATTGAGTCGTTCCTATTTGAAATCATTCAATTTCCTTTCGTTTTCTTTTTGTTCTTTCTTCTTCCTTTTCTGTTATTGATGGTTTATATTTAGATTTTGGCTTGAGTTTCATTATTTGAAGGTAAGTTTCGTTACGATTTTGCTTATTACTTGGTACAAATTTTACATATGCAGGATAAGTTCAGCAGAATCAGTTTACACTAACAAATATAACCTGATTATCTTCTACATGTTCCCTATCAACTTGTTCTACTTTTTCCAACATCAACTGCTTTGTTGTTTTCACTTTCTTGGCTTTGATTCTTTTTGTGTGACTTTCTTCTCAGATTTTCTCCTTTTCAGTGCAGGTAGAGGATCGACATAATCATCATCGTCATTATTTGACATTTGTTTAAGACATCAATTGCCTTTGCATTGTCCATCTGTGAAAATTAAATAATTAGTTTTTGATACTTTTTTGGAATAATTATGCAGAATCAATTTACACAAAATATATGCAAAATCAAATTACAGAAAAATATGCAGTTGTAGTTTGCAAACTCATTTTACACAAGATACATGCAGAATCAATTTTGCACAACATACATGCAGGATCAGTTTTGCACAAAGATAAATGCAGGATCAGTTTTCCACAAAAAAGGTAGATTGATACGCAGTTTACCTCCAACTTTTCATTTGTATTTTTATGGATTTTATTATGGAGAGCTGACAAATCCCACTTAATTGCTGTTGGTAGGCTTTTCTCCTTTCCTACCTTTGGTTTGATGATGTTGGTTCGATCACATACCCAATGATGCAGATAAAAAACAAATTTTCAGTTAGATTTTGTAGTTTTTCTAAAATCAAACAGAAACTAATTATGAGTTTAGTTTGCTTACCATTAAAAGGACAACAGAACCACTAACAGTTGGTTGTTTATCCTTTTTCCTGCTTTGGGCTCTGTCAATTCCTTCCGCTAAGTACCTTGCTATTTCTTTTGCCCAGTTGTATTGATTGATGCTCGCTATTGAGTTACAGATTTTAGCAAAACTCCAAGGTAGTTTTGCCGCTGAACTTCCAAGGTAGTTTTGCCCAGTTGTATTGATTGATGCTCGCTATTGAGTTACAGATTTGTATTTCACCATTTTCATATGCCTTATGGTGAAGCATATAAAATCTTCAACACTTCGAAATTTTTCTGAAACTTTGTCTTGAGTTCTTCTATGTTTTTTTTCTCCAAAAGCCATCAAATTCATTTTCATCTGAGCATAGTTTTCATCAGACGTCCGGCGCTTCTCACTTTTTGTTCATCTTTCACGTTTTTTAGTAGGAGCAGCAATTGGAGATGTTTTCTGTTTTTTAGTAGGAGCAGCAGTTCGATCTCTCGGCCACATCCTCATAAAAATAGAACAATAATTAGTAATCTTGAATCAATGAAACTGAAATTGCATCAGTGAACTAAAGAATTTAAATAGAGAATTTGAAAAAATAATATGAAACTAATCATGAAGTAACTACTAAAATTGATCTTGCAAAAAATGTGAAAGAGATTTTGCAAAAAAAGTAGATTCAAAATCAGTTTGCACAAGATATATGCAGAATCAATTTCAACTCAAAACTTCATAAAACAATACAAGAAGCAAAAAGTTGGTAAGAGATCGAACTGTGGCTGAATTTAAACAACTAACAAATCACATATTGAACCATTAAAAAAAAAATTCCTATACATTCAATTTTCTTACACAAAAATATCTGAATTTTTTAGGGGTTTTTTTTCCTCTCATTTCTTATATTTGGTGATGTGGGATGAAGTTCTTAATATGCACCTAAATTTAAAATGGACGGTGTTGGTGAAAATGATTAACAATTCGAGGACTAAAAACTAAAGGTAAAGTTCAAAGACTAAAATTAAACTAATATAAAGTTTAGTCACCATTGCTACAATTAAGTCTAAGAACAATAACCCCATCCAACAAAGGAAACCAAACTCAAACAGAAATTAGATCAAATATTTAAACAAAAATCAAATGCAGCATGCGCAGCACAATTCCAATTCAAAAGCTAAACATCATCATACACAAGTAATCTGAAACTTGGCTGATTTCGACGTTGAGGAAAGCCGCCCCGGGGGGGGGGGTTGCGGCCGTTGCTGGCAGCAGCAGCTTCCACAGAACTCGCGTCGTCCTTGCAGAACCTGAACTCCTGCGTCGTTGTTTCGCCACCACCTTTCTATAAAAATCGGCTTTCTAAAATTCACTTGAATTATTGATGAGTGTTCTCATTGTTAATATTTTAGAGTTACTTTACAATGTAAATTACACCATAACCCTTAAGGGTTGATTTGGAATTGCGATGATTTTTTTTTTATTTGTAAATTAGAGTTTTTAGGTTTTATTTTTGTTAAAAACGATTTTGAATCACATTATTGCTAACATATTGTGAGGTTAAACTTATCGTTTGTTCAAAAAAAATTATAACATCGTATGTGTTTGTTAAAACAAAAATAAATACATAAATTCCTTTTTTAAAAACTAATGTCAATGATTGTAGAAAAACATAAAAAAATAAGAGTAGAATCTACCATGCATCTATATACACCTCATATATTTTTATAAAGGGGTGTGATATCCACATAACCATTTTTACTTCTCTCACACTTTTTTAATTTTCAACCGTCGAATTAAATGAATTGAAGAAGATCAAATAACAGAAATTAACAAGAATGTGTGAATAGCATATCTCTTTATAAAATTACAATCTTTACTCTTATATTATTATCTTTAACAATTACTATGTTCACATTCAATACTATATCACATTATTGTCTGAAAGCAAAGAACTCTCTCTCTCTCTCGCTTTTGCAGCTCGTCCTTCCCATAACCCATTTCCCATCTCTCTCTATTAACTCTCACCCTCCATCATTACAATTACACACAGAGATTCCATTTCAGAAACGTCAACTCTCTCTCTGATCGATTTCATACTCAATCAATACCAAATTCTTCGAATTCTTCAATCACGTTCGTTCATCGTACAGTTAGAAATTATTATAATTTTTTTATTAAAATTTAACATAAATCGAAAACTAATAGTACGATATACGATGAATAAATATGATTAAAAGATCCTGAGATCCTCACAAAGAGAATTCAAAAGAGATCTTCATTCCCAAATTTGCTCTATGTTATCTGTATCTCTCTTATCGATGCCATTGTGGCCGTCACTTCAGGAATCATTTGTAGTTGGGATGGGACCCTACGAATCTCGCCTCTGATCTCTTATTTGAAGAAGGAATGTTGTAACCTTGGATTTCTCTAATAAATATATGTATCGAGCTTTTATCAAGTAAATTGCTTGGTGTTGTTTAGCACAAAGAATTAAGCTTTTTCGATTTAATTTATACGCCCTCGAATGCAACGTACGAGAATTTTGCTATCTGCAGTACAGCTACTGAAATTGTTTTGTGCACAAAAATCATGAATCTCTTTCCAATGACATTCATGAACATGACCCAATATGTAAATACGTATTATATACATTGTATGTACACTAAACATATATGATATGCACATAATATGCTCACAGATTTGAGTTCAACCCAAAAATCCAAAGTTCACAGCTCTCTTTGAAATCAGAAAATAAAATTTAAAAAAAAAAAAAAAGTCGCAATGAGTTGTGAGTTTTTGCAATATATATGTGAGTATTTTTGTCATTTCACTTTTGTACATGATGTGCATGATTGTGAATGACGGTTTGTCCTATTTTAATCTAAAAATTAAGAAAATTGGTCATTTCTGACAATTTTCCTAAATTCTATGGTGCTTCTATTCTCTAGACGCTTTAACTATTAGATCTTTGATTTTTATTTTTTTATCGAAAAATCTAGTAGCTAAAATTTAGTCTCAAGATGGGTATAGGCATTTGTATGCAAAACCGTCTAATCAATTTTTTATAAGTAAAATCTCCTTGAATCAACATTTCACAACTATTATTAGAAATTTCGGAGCCGATGCTTGCAGAACAGAAACGTTGAAAACTGAAGTACAAAGACAAAATTTAGACATACACACATTCATTTCTTACCAATCAAAATGTTAGGCACATCCTATGTATCCTAACTCTCAGCCCCATTGAAGTGCTACATTTTCTTACATTTGCTTGTCAAAATATGGGGTAAAAACTCAAAATGTCCCAACTCTCAGTCCACTGTGTAGGCAAAACCTCAACTAGGGAAGCTATGATACAGTTGGTATGTGTACAACACAACAAAATCTTGCTAAAAAACCTAGCCTCGAACGCATTCACCTTGGTTTAGTCTTCGATGCTGCGTTAAATAGCTGCCAGATCTTTCCCTCTTCGACAAGTAACTTCTGGTGAAGCCGGCGTTGCTGATTAGAATACTCACAAAATAAATCTTGCAGCAGCTTGGCTCTCATGTATTCTTCAGTTCCAGAACTGACCACTTTCAATTCGTTGCGAGTACTAGTTCTTCTACGCTCTAGTAGTTTCTGCAAAAAATTCAGTAAGAATAATACTTTTCAAAAATGGATGCGCTATACTAGCTGTTTCAGATTCTTTTTAGTTTTGTATGCTTCTCAACTCTTTATCGGGGATGGTGTGTAATAAAGAGAGACTGTTACGAAAATTACGTAGTTATCAATTTATCACGTTACAATTCATTGTCTGTTTTCATGCAGATCCAAGAATAACTTCCATCGATTAGTCAAATACTCCAGACAAGCACAAGAAAAAAATATTGGAACTAACCTGCGATATAAGCATGGAGTTTACGATTGAACCCCTTAGTCTCTCATGTGCTCGTCTTTTCTCAGTCATGACCCAAGGCCTGCACAGAATTATAAAATGGCACATGCTTTAACAAGTCAATTGCGCAAAAACCAAATTAACATTGTGAGGTTTACACGACCACTGGACCACAAAATCTAGCTATTAAGAAATAGATCAACAACGTATGTGAAGAGTGGTATTGGAGGCTTGAAACAAAGATCTCCAGCAAACCAAGAGTCCGTATTTTGGACACTCACTTAGACCCCGAAATATAAATTGTTAGCAAATGCAATTCAAGCTAATCACCAAAAAAAAAAAATTATTCACACTAGATACCTTCCGCTTGCAGAAATAATGATGTGATCGGTACTCTCCAAAAAGTCGGATAACTTGTCAACATTCTTTCTGCTATCCAGCAGGATGGTTCCTCGTGTATACCACTCAGATGACAGACTTGGTGAAACAAATGCTTGACATGAGATTGAAAGTTGTTGATGTATAAATTCCACGATCTTTAATGGTGATAACCCCTTCTCCAGATTCTCAATGGCCATTATATAGGGAACCTCTTCTACATCCGTGTCGTGCCCAACCCCCTGAGAAGGATTGCCAATCCCATCTGCCTTGGGAAAACGGAAAAAGAATTAAGAAACTAATGAGTTCGGGAAAATCTCTAAGCAAATCAGTACAAACCTTTAAGAGACGAGATGAGACTTAAGGCTCGCCTTGAAGTTCTTTTGTCCTACAAGTAAATAAATCCAAATAACAAGTAAGCACAAGAGAAGCGAGTGACTGCAGAATTAGTTTGGCAAATTTGTCCACATGGACCAGACAGATGGTTAAAAATCATTGCAAACTTAGTAATTACAAGGATTTCTCACAACTCTCAGCCGTACACAATGCCTATCTCACCGCCAGAGAGGCACACATCTTTACTCTCAAACTTACACCACTCCACTCTCCTAATTTATTAGAAAACGACAATGGAATCTAAAAATAATCAGTGGAGAAGGCCAGAATAATATATGCTGCAATATTCACCAAACAGAATACATTCTTAACACACCCTCATGTGTAGAATGACATGAGCCAAACATGCACACATGACACAACTTTACATTACGTGCACCATGACTTAAACCAAACATGCAGACAATCAATACTAAGTGACATGATAGCTCAAGTGGTTATATCCAGCTCAAATCCAAATTGGCAATGAGTAAGGTGAGAGACTATATAAGGCTTACTAATTGATTTACCCCTGAAACTGCCATCTAGTCTCACTTTACACCATGAAACTGGTTTTGTCTCACTTTGCCCCATGAAGCTGCCATTTTCGTCTCATTTAGTCTCAGTTCAACCCATTTTCGTTCATTTTGTCACATAAACGTTAAATTAAAAGGGTAGCATATATATTTTATTTTTGACACAACTCTTTGCCTCCAACCTGCCTGCTATAAAATCCCAATTCCATTTTCAGTAACTCTAATTCAAACCCCATCTGTCTCTCTTTACTTATTGATGTGGAGCTGTAGTTGCAACCGTTTGATTCAATGAGGGGCTTGAATTAGATTGTGAAACATAACCCATTATTTGCTTTTGCCAACAATTGCAGCTACAACTCCACACCAATTCGCAAGAGAGACAGACAGGGGTTTAAAATAGATATATTGAAGATGAAATTGGAAGTTGGAGGCAAAGAGTTGTGTCAAAAACAAAATGTCCATACTAACCTTTAATTTAACGTCTATTTATGGAATGGACAAAAATGGGGTGAATTGAGACTAAATTAGACGAAAACGGAAGTTTCAAGGGACAAAATGAGACAAAACCAGTTTCAAGGGGTAAGGTGAGACTAAACGGCAGTTCCAGGATAACACAACAATATGCTTATGTACATATATTAAAAGTAATCTTTTATATAACGTTAAGAAAGCTCTAATAGGAAGGGTAAGACAGAAAAAATTCCAAATATGAATGGTGTTAAATGCACAAAACTCTACATAAGAAACTCAACCCAAATAGGAAAACATATACACTAAATAAACTTGCCTGGTTTATACTTAGAGAAATGCTTAACTTGTGCCTATAGTTGGACATACAAGTTTTTGTGTCATAAGCAATATCACGAGGAATTGCAGAAATATTAGAAAGAGTGGTTTCAATTTTCTCCCTGGCTGTTTTTAGAAAAGAGTTCAAAAGCGGATGCATTTTGTTTGTACGAGGCTGGACTCTGCAAATGGTATCAAGAGATTGAGCCGTTAAAGACCCTGCTTTTGGACCATGTCTCCAAAAGAGGATGAGGCTGCATGAACATTCTTCTTCTCCTTTTACAAACTGATGTTCCTCATGCACCACCTAACGATACAAAATCACAATCAATAGACAATCTATCATCGGGAAATTTAGAATACTTTATGGTGCTTTTTAGAGAAGGACCAATAATGCTTCCTTATGAAGCCAAGTAGGTTGTTTGACTATTTTTGTATGAAGCACTTATGCTCATAAGCTTTTGCTAGATATACTTTTATTACGGGCTCGTTTGGAAGTTCTTTTAAATGATTAAAGCGCTTTTAGACAAAATGTTGTTGGGTTCCCAAAGCAGTTGAAGTGCTTCCTACAAAAAGCACAAGATTTTTACTAAAGATTGGTTCCAAAAACATTTTAACTAAAAGCAATTTCAGCTTTTTAAAAGTGCTTCTAAACGAGCCCTAAAACACGTTGAAATTTGTATTACCATTCAACTCCTTCCTATAAAAGTAGTTGGAAGTGCTTGTTCCCCAAAAAGCGCTTCTATATCCTACACCACTTAAAAGGGCTAAAAATGCTCTGTGACAACCAAAAACAGTTATAACTACATTTAGGCCTTCCACAATAGTTTGAGCGAGTGTGATGTCTATAGATAGGAATTAATTAACCTGAGTATGATACATATAATACTACTGCTACACTATTACGCATTCAATATGTCAGTATCATAATAAAGAGTTTAATATATTGAACTAATAAGTGTAATATATTAAACTAACTAGTGTGATTCGTATATGAGTTCAATATATTGGTATCACATTCAAATTTCGGCCCACAAGTGTGATTCCTCTATGAGTTCAATATATTGGTATCAAACTTACTTTTTCCGACCTACTATGGAAACACTTCTATAGTAAAAGCACTTCCAACTAATGTTTTTCTTAATAGAAGTGTTTTATACAAAGTCAATGCCAAACATGCCCTGGGTCAAACAACTAATGTTGTTTGTTACACCCATCTAGGATCTAATTATACCAATGGTTGCCCAAGGTGGACCATTGACCATCACCGTTGATACCATTGAACTTAGACAAACTGATCTACAAACTCAATCCATCGTCTAGACCATTCAACTTCACTATTCACAAGCATCATAGCACCCAGAAGCCAAACTCACGCTATTATCCATTACCATGGTTCACCATTCTTCAAGCTAGCTTATCTACCAATCTAATGCCCACCTTACAACCGATCTATGTGCAAAATTATTGAACCAATTTTGGTGCCACAAAATCGCAGATCGCCAAAACAAAAGGTTGGTTTCAATGTTGGCGTTAATAAATTTGGGAAAAGTGACTGTTGAGGTTGTAGTGTTTTGCGAGGTGAAGTGTTGGAATTCATAAACCCAATTGCTCAAAGGACTTTTGTTACCTCTAAGCGCATTAACTTTCTATGCTAGACACTCAAGCTCTCTATTTGAATGGAAGGTGTCATTTACAAATCCCTATTATATGTATTTTGTAATACTTAGACGATGCATTTATAATCCCTCCTATTAACCTTTTGTGATGCATCCCTCTTACATTCCTTTGTGGTGCTCATATGCTGCTTTTCTAATCCCTCTATAACATTTTTTTTTGTTCATTTCTTACTCACTCGGCCTCAATCCCTTGGAACTTTAACTCCATCATCCAAACATAGCCATTATATGATAAAATAGCCTGCCTAGAATATTATAATCATTTAAACCGAGATTTGGAGAAAGACATGAAGAGAACAAACGAATTTCAAATTACTCTTACCATATATAATTTCAAAAATACTTTTTTGTTTCTTACTCAAATTTATCTTTTTCGTTATTACACAAAACATATCTAACCTTATAATGTAAACTAAATCTTAGACTTAGGACTCTCCATCCAAATGGAGTCTTCTCTTCGCTTTTGTTTTCATTAAATTAGAAATAGCACTCCACCGACTCTAAATCTTACATAAACACACTTTAAGAGCTCAACTGGAGGAAAAAAAAAAAAAGAGTGGCTATCCACTTGTGATGCTCTAATTGTTTCTTAGTCGTGAAGTCCTTTCCCCATAATTATCACATTTTTAGAAATACAAGCCGAATGGTTACAGACCAATATTGTCCCCAACTTAACCACCAATATCCCAAGAAGTGGGATTTCATCCTAAAAGATCAATGTAATTAGGAAATGAACAATTTGCATATAAATCATAATTTGTTTTATCGGATCTCAGATGTGGGATTTCCAGCACAACCCCTCATGTGGAACCATATCTTTAGTGGGCCAGACCATCTATGGCCCCGTTTGGTGTTTAGACACAAAGAACATAAGAATTTTTTTTATTGTTAAAATCTACAGTCTCATTGTCGTTGAGTGTCTACGACTACAATGAATTGGATAGCTCATTAGATTCAATGTACGTTGAATCAGATATCTTGATAGATTCAATGTATGTTGGATTAGATAACTAAATTCAATTTACATTAAGCGTACATACGAAAATATAAGTTTCCTTTACGAATAATCCATATTAGGACAGAATTTCAAAATTAGTATCCCTTTCTTTATTCAAGGTACATGGATTTTATGAATCATCCAATCTTATCTAATCCGACAACAATGAAGGCCTATGCATATAGATGAATACACAACACGACAAAGCCTTTTCCGACCAGGTGGGGTCGGCTGTGGGGGGATGCAACACGAGGACTTCCACAATACAACAAAGCTTTTTCCCACCAGGTGGGGTCAGCTGTGGGGGATGCAACACGAGGACTTCCTAGGAGGTCACCCATCCTAGTACTAATCTTGCCCAAACTCCCTTAACTTCAGAGTTCTGATGGAATCCGGTGCATATTAGTTGGTATGATCGCATTCCAAAGATTCGACGTAATATAAGAGTGTCAGTTGTCAACTACCTAAAGCTCTCCCCTCCTCCTTTATCCGGGCTTGGGACCGGCCTATGCATATAGATGCATAGTTTTGTAAATTTCAAGTTTTTCATATTTTGGGATTACTAAGGCCACATATGCATGTAAACAACTTCTTTGCAAAACAAGAGTAAGGCGTATAATAGATGTTGCCCCGACCCTCGCAAAGTAAAAAACCTTATTGGCTTGGGGTTGCCCTTAGTAAATGCCTAAATGGTCATTTCATTTTCTAACACATATCAACACAAACAATTTCCTCTTCAACTAAGGTCAATAAAACAATTTTCCTCTCCCAATTAAGGTCAATACTAATTGCTGATTTCTTTTCAATGACCAAAATTTGTGCATTTCCAACATTGAAAATATTTTGCGACTTTAAACAAATTACTAAAGCAAATGGCACCAAACAAATTTCCCAAGAAAGAAATGGCGAGAAATAGTGAGGGGAAAGCGAGAGACAAAGAAAACTGACCTTTTTGACAACGGCGTCGTAGAAGCGGCGATCACCGTGGCGAATGGAGTGAGAGGCACAGACGAGCATGCCCTTCACCACCTGAGAGCACTCCGTGTCCTGAACTTGTACGGACAACGGCCTGAACCTCCGGCTGAACTCGTCGATGTCGTTGAACGAACTCAACTCGTTCACTTCATAAACCTCGTCATGGTCGTCGGCGAAGCCGACGAACTTCACTCTCAGTCGATCACAGCCGTCGTTCGTTATCAGGACGTCGTACCAGGCGTCGTCTAAGCCAGACCTGAACTCCACCGCCATCCCAACCCCACCCACCGCCTTACACCTCCAAAATTTTAAACGATTTGTATATATTCTAAATTTCCCAACGATTATCGTTTCCCATCCTTCATGATTATCTTTTTGAAATGTCACTCCACCAACTTTATAAGGAGTTTTTGGAAAAATAACTGTATAAGGAGAACATTTTAGATTCAAGAGAATGCAAAAAGACAAAAAAGGAGTCCTATTTTTTAATGTGATATTACGATATCTTAATGGATCATGTCTTGTAATGCCTGCTAAAATAAACTATAATATTGCACGACCCGTTATTAACGAGTAATATGACCTATTAAAGAAAATAAATTTTACTTCTATAAATAATAAAATAAAAAATGTAATACTAAATTAGTATATACATACCACGTTGTCACATTAATATTACTTTAAAACATAAAAACACATTTGCCTTTCAAGCATTACATATCCCAAAATACGAAAAACATTAATACATTACTACAAAATATCAAATGTTCAAGAATATGTAAAATATAGAGAGATTAAATCCTATGGTATTGTTGTAGTAAGTTTCTTTTAATTAATGTAAAAGTGTGAAAAATAAAAATATATAGACGCTAGTAATGACATCGGGACATGATATCAATAATCTGAATAGTTTATTTTTCTGCCTATGCTAAAATATCATGTTTTCAAAAAAGAAAATTTGAAAAACATAATCAAGTGATAAGAATAAAGCGTAAACGACAATAGACTATTAAATATAAATCTAGGATTTATGGATTATAGTGTTGAATTTTGGAGTTACCATTTTACGAAAGTTGTAAAATTTGTTATTACGAGCGATTATATTTTTTTTTTTACACTTCTACATTAATTATTATTAATTTTTATTAATTTTTCACTCAAATAAAAATACTATTCATGAGGGTTTGGAGAGTATAAACAACGATGTAACCATCGTCTAAGCATAAATAATACAATCATAAGTGTTTATATATTCTTTTCACATTTTTCACACTTGTACATTAATTATTATAAATTATTATTTGTTTTGAACTCTCCCAAAAACACTCTTCACGAGGTTTGGTAGAATTTTAAAAATCAAACGACGATATACCCATTGTCAAAGCGTAGATGATGCGATAACGAGCGTGTGCATATTTTTTTCACATTTTTCACACTTGTAAATTTATTATCATGAATTTTTTATGTGGTTTGGTATTTTCAATGTGCTTTAAAAAAAATATTCTTAAGGGGTTGAAACTAGGGGTGGGCATAGGTCGGGTCAAGCCCAAATGTAGAAGGACCGGACCAGACCCGCTTAAAAAGGAAACGAGACGGGTCGAGTCATGTGTTGCAAATCTGATCACTGGAATCAGACCTAACCCAGCCCGTTTTGTGACATCCCGGCCCTGGTCCATGATAGGAGCAAATTTATGCAACTTAGTGAGCTTGTTTCTTGGCATTTACTTAGTTTAATTCTAGTTATTTTAGTACTTTAAGCTATTTTCGTGTGTTTGTAGGTTCAAATAACAAAGTTGGCAACAAAGTGTTATTTGGAGCACTTTGGAGCATTTTTGGGCCAAGATTGGATAGTGCAAGCATGTAGACATGAGGATGAAAGTTTTTTAAGATTAGAAGGCTAGAAATCAGCATGTGTGTGTGCAAGTGTTGACCTACAACTACAAACACTCATTACATCCACTCATTACCAAACATCCATCCACTACACCCATTACATCCACTCATTACCAAACACTCATCCACTACACCCATTACATCCACTCATTACCAAACATCCATCCACTATACCCATTACATCCACTCATTACCAAACATTCATCAACTACACCCATTACATCCACTCATTACCAAACACTCATCCACTTTGTTTTAAAGTGTTTTATTAGTCAAAATCTATTTTGATTTGTGTTTTTAAGTGTCTTGGGTCAAGTTAGAACCTAATTTCGTCCAAAACCATCCCTAGAGTCAGTTTAGAGTCTAATTCATTGTTTTAAGCAGTTTTGAGTCTTTTAAACTAGTTTTGAGTCTTTTTAGTTTGTATTGCATCTTTTGAGTCTAGTTTGGTGTTTTAAACTTAATTTTACGTTTTTAAGTTAGTTTCAAGTGTTTTAGCAATCCCTTCTAATCCCCGGCCTAGAACGATCCCTACTTACATTCTTTACTACAATTGACAACCAGATGGTTTAATTTGTGTGTTAAGATAATTTTCGCATCAAATTTTTGGTGCCGTTGCCGGGGATTAGCAACTTTGCTAATCCCCCGTTGTTTCTTTTTCATGTTTTTTGTTTTAGTTACTGACTTTGTTTCTATTTGTGTATTTTATTTTTACTTATGATATTTGATTTAGTTTTGTTTCCTTGATTTCAGGTACTAGAGAAGTAAGACATGAATTTTGCTACCATTCAAGCTCAATTGGCGAAACTTACTTCTCAATTGTCACAATATGCCGAAAGGACCACAATGCAAAGTGTCCCTACATATGGTGTGTCTTATGGGCAAGGATATTCAACTCATCAATGTTCTTAATTCGCGGCGAATGAAGATGCTTGGGGTTATCAAGGCCATAGCCAATCATGGGACAACATGTTTTCCAACGCTTACAATTTGAATTGGAGAGATTATTCAGATTACATGTGGGGAGAACCTCAACAATTCCAACAAGATGGGTATTGGCAGCAAGAAGATGAGTTCTATTCAAGACCTATGCAGCCACCACAACCTCCTCCACAACAATTCCAATCAAATTCAAGTATGCCTATGAGTTATGATGAAATTCTTGATGTACTAACCTCTTTGACGCAGGCTTACAACAAGAAGAATATTTGCCGCCATCGGATGAGTTCTATCACTGGCCATATGAACCATCATAGCCACCACAACAATTTGCCCATTTCAATTCAAGTATGTCTTTGGATAATGATATGTTTAATAAGTTACTCACCTCCTTGAACCAAGAAGTAGAAAATCGAAACAAAGAGATGCAAAATCAAGCCAAGAAGATAGGTGAATTGGAGAAGCAAATTGGGCAGATTATGGAGTTCATGGCACAAATTCAAGAGCAAAGTGAACTCTCCAACTCAACTATTGAAAATTTGAAGGAAGATTTTGAAATCCATGATGCTATTACTTTGGGAAGTGCTATGGAGGTTGGAGGTGAACCCAAGACATCCAAACCAAGCCAAAACATGGATGAACAGCTGCTGCTCGAAGAAGAGGAGAATAACAAGGCCACGGCAAGGGAAGAACCACCCTTGCCACATCCTCATATGCCCTCTATGCCGTCCACTACAACTAAGGTAAGCCTAAATTCAATTTGTCCTAACCCCGTTTCACCAAATGTCTTTATTTCTTGCAGGATCATGCAATCCAAGGAAGAAGAGGGTGAGAAAGACATCTTCGAAACCTTTCCAAAGAATCAAGAGCAAGAAGTGGATGGGGAATGTCTAGAATTCATCAAAGAAGATACACTTGAGACGAAAATTCCCAAAGAAGTTGAATTTTATGACACGAGACAAGTCATAACTCTCAAAACACCAAATCTGGCCAATTCTCATATCCCTGCAACCTTCAAAGATGTGTTCGTAATTGAGTTTGTGTTGGAGCAAGCAAGTAAGCCATCTTCTCCAACTTCGATTTTATTATATACTAACTTGCTGATTTTGATGATTCAGGCACCTACACTAGAATTTAAATCATTGCCAGATCACGTCAAGTATCACCGTCCATTCAATGATCAATTCCATGATATGGGCCCTATCCAAGTTTAGAAGGAAGTTTCATCCGGCTGGAAGACGTTAAAACAAGCGCTTATTGGGAGGCAACCCATGTATTCAAATAAGGAAGATTTTTGAATCACTCCACAATCAGTTTTACGTTTCTAAAAACCTTCCCTTTTCTGCAGTTTTATTTTGCCATGATTGTCATTTTTATTTGTTGCTTGTTTAATTGTTTTTTGTCTGGGTTTATTTTTGAAACACTGACAGATATGCAAGGTATTTTTACATTCATTTTCATGAAAAAAAAAGGAACATTAAGCAGAAAAATACAAAAGGGAGCCTTCATAAAGGCTGCTTAGGAGAAGTCTCAGTAGTCGGCGGAGCCCCAGAAGGAGGAGGCATCGGAGGTTAATCATTTGGAGCTTCATTACGCGGTACAGCCCCAGAAGACGAAGGCAAATGATGTTGGAACAAACCCACAAACCTCTGATGATCAAGTAAAATCTGACCATCAAATTCTTGCATATGGTCAATCTTCCTCTTCATGTTTGTAGCATAGTTATGTGCAAGCCTGTGCAACTGTTTATTCTCATGCTTGAGCCCTCTAAACTCCTATTTGAGACTCATCACTTCAGCCGCCAATGATTCAACTTGACGGGTTCGAGCAAATAGGCATTAAGCCATATTAGACACAGAACATGCACACTGCACACTGAGAGCCAGAGAATCCTTAACAGCCAACTCATCAGACCGTTTGGCAAGTAGTCTGTTATCTTTGGGAGTGACAAGGTTCCGAGCCACCACCGCAACGGTCATATCATTCTTCATCACAGAATCCCCGACGGTAAGAGGACCAGTAGGGGATATGAAGGATGGGCGCCATATGTTGTCTGGAGAAGGCATGGCTGCCTCTTCACCAAGGTTCAAGTCAAAACGACGGTCGGAAAGGCCAGACATTTTCAAAGGTGTTGAAGGAAGAAAAGGTCGGACAAGTCAAGATCTTAGAAGTACAAGAAGGGAGTTTCTACAGGCGAAAATTCAAGTGTGCTTTGAAATGTACTGCGCGCCTCTATAAAAATCAGCATACGATGGGGTTTCAGAGATCGAAGAGGCGAGCTCAGAAATCGAAGAGGCGCTAGCTTTCTCAAAAGTTGGGCTTGCTTAGAGACCACGGGCCAATCTTCTTTTCCAGATTTGTTCGCACTTGTCACATGCAACCTCTGCACTCGACGGAGCTCAGAACTCGAAGAGGCAAGCTCAAAAATCGGAGAGGCATCTGCTTTTCCAAACGTGCCAGCATCTGTCACATGCACACTCAGCTTTGCGGAAATCATGGGTAATTTGTCGAAGCGCCGATTCCAGATATCGAA